ATTCATTTAGACCTCTAGGTGTGGTATAATATGTTATATTTGTGTTTGTATTGCCTTTTAGCCACAATAGTTTTTATGAAGGTCTTAAAAAACATGATAACACTTACACCAAAAGCTTTATCTTATCTTGCCTAGTGCCAACATTTAAATTTCAACTTTATAGGATTTTGCCTTCTCAAGGGCTTATACATGATCATCAACTAAATCGATAAGATTTATGTAATAATACATGCATCATTAGTTATGGATTTTGTCTAGGAAAACCAATAAATAAGTGGAAATGACCTTGAATTTACAGTAGTAATTAACTTTGAATTTTGTTGTTCTTGATTCAAAGTTCAAAATTCGGTAGTTTATTCATACTTTTTCTTTTTACTTATAAAATATATTGTGAGTTTACTTTTGTATATGATGCATGAGAAATGAAGGAATGTTCTAATCTAGCACATACTTTAAATGGTGTTGAAGATCCATTCTTTAAAAAGGTGTGTTTTAAATGTAAAAGGTGATGATAGGAGTGGACGTCTACGTTACATGGGACCTACGACATGTTTTAGTCAATTTATTTCATCTTCTTATTTTCAATATTATAATTGAAATTGTGACAATTTAAAGAAAGAAAACGAGAATTTTTGAAGTATAATTTGTTCAATATGATGCAAAATATATTTACAATTGGAGAATTGTATGATTTTTTTCAATCTACTTCTAATAGTGTTCTCCAATATATTTGTTATAATATATAAATTAATTACTTGTATTTAGTTAATTAAGCATATTTATTACATGTTCCTAATGTGAGTATTGATAATGATCAAAATTACAGTTTCTTCAGATAGTTTTGAAGATGTAATGATTTTGTGGTGTTAAATATATGTACACTTATTTTTTTCAACTTGATGATACGGAGCTCAAATAATATATTTTTGATTATGAGCTGAAATTTTTTGTATAAATACGAAGATATTCTTAACTTCTTTGGTTTTTAATATATATATATATATATATATATACATATGTATTGTAAATGATCTCATGAAATTTATATGTTTTAGTTATATTTATAATTTTATTTTATAGTAATTTAAGTATTAAAATAATTATGTTTATAATTTAATTAATAAAATAAATATGATATTAAAGAGAATACTTGATGATATGTAACAATCTTTTGTAAACGGAATGTTGTTTATAATTTTGTTTGTCTAGCTCTTGAAACTTTTATGGAGAATGTGATTACAATAACATATAACAATACTAATAGTATTTTTTTAATTATAATTCAATAATATTTCAAGAATTATTTATCTAGAAAAATTAAGATTTATAGGGTAAGGAAATAAGTTGGTATTAAAATTTAAACTTGTAATTAACTTAAGATTATTTATACTTATTATTTTTTTAATAATATATTTTATTTGGATATTTTCTCTTCTATATTAGAGAGTTTTTCATGTATTTTATGTTCTTGTGTTTTGTTTTACACTTACACTTATTTCTTGTAAGTTGTAATTAAATTTTTGGGTTTAATTAATTTACATAACTAATATTGTCTGACGTGTGACAAATTTAATATATATATATATATATATATATATATTACATCGATGATTCAAACCAATTTATTATTATTATTTTTTGGTTGAATGGCAATCTTCTCTTTTCTTTTTGTCCATCATCTTACCTCAGATTCTTTATATCTCTTTTCTTTCATATTCCTAATTTCTTAATTTGTAGATTGACGTATGAAAATAACTTAAAAAATTGACATAGATAAACTAATCAAGCGGAGGAAGGAAAAGATTGGATTAATGGAGAAGAAAGAAATGGGAAGACAAAAAGAAGAAAAAGAAGAGGTGTAGAGAACGCAATTTGCCGCAATGTACATAAATAAGACGGAAGCAGAGCAGCATCAAAGAGAGGTCTGAATTGAGCAGAGTAGTGGGAGAGCATGGAGAAGTGTTGAGTGAAAAACAGGTAAAAGAGAGGAGAAGACAGGCGCGGTTAAAGGGAAGGAGTTCGACTTTGGCTCTAAAGCAGAGTGGAGCACAGCAGAGGTGAAAAGAAGGGGATTTAATTTTCAGGATTCTAGGGTTCTTGCGGCTCTCTTGTTGAAGATGAAAATAAAAGAGGAATTTTGGGGTTCTTACATTGAGGAATTCCTTGGTGGGTTGAATAGGAACAAGGAATGGATTTGTAAGATTATTCTTATTGAGAGAGTGAGATCCATAGGTGTCAGCACTGTTAGGATTCATAAGATTCAAGCTTCATCAAGCGTAAACTCTTTCTTTTCTCAATTATGGCTTGTATTGTCACTTGATGGTGAAAGGAAATTTGTTTATCAGGAGATTAATTAGTAGATATGGTCGAATAATCCTTGTAAATCAGCTGCATGCATGTTTTCCTTTTTCTGCAAAATTTTCTATTTTATTTAGCCCACCACCTGTTCGACAAAAAGACTCTTAATGCATCACTTTCTGATAAACTATTTAGGGTTAATATAGGTTGTGCTTACTCGACTTTAAATCAGTGTTGAAACATTTTAACAAACAGCATCATTCATGAATGAATATGGGTTTGTACATATTATGGTTATACTATATTTACGTGCTTCACCTGTAAATAAAACCCAATCCCCTCGTACCAAACAATTGAAATTGACATGTTGGAAGCAAAAAAGGTCAACCCCATTCCACTACTTTCACGCCATCTCTCTCTTTGCTCTGTCTTGTCCTGCTAAAAATTGTTTGTTTTCTCAGACAGGTGTCTCTCTCCAAAACCCTAACCAAGTTTTGATTTAATCCTTACAAAACCTTATGTGCCACGGCGCCATTTTGAATTGGCTTCATTCTTTTTCATAACTTAACATAGACGACGTAAAATGGTAATCGACAACCATGGCCCTGTTGCCTAACACAGCCAAAATTCCATGTCTCTGTCGCTTCACTCCAACTGTCTTCGTCAACCCTACTACTATTCTTGTCTTTCTTGCTCTCTCTCTCTCTCTCTCTAATTCTTTATATGTTTTTAAAGATTGAGTTTAATCATTTAAATCCGATTAATTTTCTTTTCTTTTCTTTTCCTTTTAATTACCGACATGGGATTGAAGAAGCTGTGGATCAAAATTTGAAAAAACTAAAAGCATGAATAAGTGTGAGAGATGATGGTTGCGTAATTGATGGTTTATTGTAAAAATTAATCATTACTTTAAATGAAAAACTTTATCATTAAAGCATTGTGAACACATTAAAGCCCTTTTAATCTTAAATCACAACGTCAGCGTTTTTAATTGTTAAATTAATGTTCTAATTCTGACTTAATTTAGGTGGTTAAGTTCAAACTATGACCTGAATATGGATGTGTGTTTATGATGTTCTCAAATATTCTGCATTTATTATATTAACAAAGGACGTATTAAATATAAATGTTATGGAAAAAAAACTAATTTAATATTGTGGGGGCAAAGTAAATGTCATTTACTCATTGGCTTTTTTTTGTGTGTATGTCGTAATTAAAAAAGTAATAATCCTCTAGAACCCTAATCATTTTAAATTAAATTAGAGAGAGAGAATGAAAAGTCTACAATTTAGCTAGGTGCCTTTGTTATATTGAGGTTAAAAGCTATAAAATAACATAAGAACTCTTAACCACCACCCAGTTATCTGAAAATTAAAACTAAAATTGAAAGCTCTATATTTTGGCTAGGTGCATCGATTCCTCTATTAAAAGCTATTAAAAGCTACTATTTTTTTTTTCCTTTAAAAAAAAAAAAAAAAAAAAAAAAAGGAAAATTAAAAACCAGAATGAAGACCACGTGGCAAATCTAGCCAGGCTTAGGAGAAAGCAGAAGAAGACAAGCAACTCTACTTCCATTTTAATACATTCACGTCTCTCATCACTTGAGGTACGATATCGAACAAAATAATAGCCACGTGTTTAGCCACCTGTCACCTACGACCACAAAATTATTGCCACGTCAAGCCATCCGAAACCTAAGAATTCTAAAGAAAAAGACAAGACATATGACTAAGGTCTGACCCGGGGCAGGTGGCTTAATCTGATTGGTTGATGTTTGACAGCAGACATATATATTTGTCCTCTGGCAACCATTTTAATTGGATGAAGAATTAGAATGTTGAGATTTCTTGTTTTTTATTTTTTTATTTTGATTATTTTAATGTTTTATCTTCTTTTTCTCTTGCAAGTAAAATTAAAGATGGAAATGGTTTTCTACTCTTGTAGAACCAAAGTTGGGCACGTTGCAAGAAACAGGGGTTTTGATAGGGACTCCACCTAACCATCCTTCTGGCTCAAGCCGATTCATTAGAATGCTTAGCCGGCGCCTCGGCTTATAGATTGGCTACGCAGGAAGCGTCGGCACTGATCCATGTTAAATTAGATATATATATATATATATATATGTGCGTGTGTATATATTATATGAAGAAAAGGCACGTGCATATTATTACAGAAGTGGCTAGAGTCTTCTTGGACAAAACGGAGAGTTTTAGAGATTCCAATGTAAGAAAAAAATGAACATAAAAAATGTACCTAAGTGGTAGAACGTGATTCACGCAGACGTTAGTGGACAAAACTAGGATGCGGCATGACGGTGTTCATGACAACATATAAATAATTTTAATATGAAATTAAATAATTATAATTCCAATTAATTAAGGGTTTAGTATTCCTAGTTCCAAGCAAGTCGATAAGATATTGTATTATTATATTCCAATTAATTAAGGGTATAGTATTGCTAATTACAAGCAAGCCAAACGAGCTAATTAAAGAAGCCACAGCTGATGATGCCCCTGCCTGCTTTCTTTCATTTTTGGAAACTGATCATTGACAAGCAGTAAAATCGGAAAGGATAAATCAGATTTAAAAAAAAATATATATATATATATATATATAGAGAGAGAGAGAGAGAGAGAGAGAGAGAGAGAGACCCCATAAACGTTGGATATAAAGCAGGAAGTCAAGACTCAACAACATACGCTCGTAGAAAAAAAAAAAAAAAAAAAAACAGAGAGAGAAAAGTTCCCTCCAAACTTGCTGAAAATCTTGTGCATATTCCAAGCAAAGATGTTAGATGGGGAAGAGACAGAGGGTTTTGGATGCAATATGGATGGAGTTGGAATAATTAGGAAGATCAAGAAGAACAAGAACAAGAACAAGAGAAGGTTCAGCGATGATCAGATCAAATCACTAGAAACTATGTTCGAATCGGAATCAAGACTGGAGCCCAGAAAGAAGGTAGAGGTTGCTAGAGAGTTGGGTTTGCAACCAAGACAAGTCGCTATTTGGTTCCAGAACAAGAGAGCCCGGTGGAAATCAAAGCAGCTCGAGAAAGACTACAACATCTTGAGAACCACGTATAATAACCTGGCTTCACAGTTCGAAAACCTCAAGAAAGAAAAGCAGGCCTTGATCATACAAGTATGTTACATACATATTTTGATTATATATGTACAGTATATAGATATGGCTTTTTGACTTTGATGATTTTGTAATGCAGTTAGAGAGACAGAATGAGCTGATGATGCAGAAAGCAGGAGAAGAAAGCAAATGTTGTAGCCAAACAGAGTCAGACAATAATAACCCATGTGAATCTGAGGTGAAAACCAGATCAGAAGTTGGATTAGGATTAGTGTCAGAGGATGACAGTGGCGCCATAAACACAGATTACTTTGGTCTGGAACAAGAAGAACCAATTAGGCTTATGTCATCACAAGAGGATGATTGGGGGAATTTTGAGTCTGATAATCTATTTGATCATTCTACCAATTGCAGCAGCTGCCAGTGGTGGGATTTCTGGTCTTAAATTTCTCCAAATAAATGTTACTCTGTGGCTTCTTGTACATATTAATCAATGGCAGTCAGCCTCAAAGATTTTGTCACCATGCTCAGATGACAACTTTTTCTGCATAACTGATCCGACACATGAGTTGGAAATGATGAGAAATGGAAATCAAAGAAGTTGGTAAACACAGGTCTTGTGTTTTTTTTCCATAAACAACTTCATCAGTGATAAACGTATTAGCGGGCTTTTGTATATTCAGGTTGCATATTGTCAAAGAGATCCAGTACAAATAGTAATTCTTAGTATAAATTCATATATTTCAACAATTAGCTCATATTTGTGCGTTAGTAACAAGATAATCAACTTTCTAATAAAAAAAATAATACAATTAATTTCGTAATGGAACATTCAAAAGAGACACACATCTGTCTTGAGTTTTACCATCCCTGAATCTGATCAAGCTCAAATGGCAGCTACAACATAATGATACCAGAGTTAAGAAAGCAAAAACTGTAGGCAAACTACTCAAACCAACTTACAGCTATTATACTAAATCATTAACAACAAAAGAACATACAATATATATATAGTTTTAATTTAATTCCCTGTCTTCTCTAGATCAGAAACAGAGTAGTAGTTTGATGTATCCGATAAACTTCAATTCTACGAAAATCTATCATATTGAACAATTAATATTAGCATGTGGGGTGATTACTACTGCATAGCATAATGTCAAATTAACAGCACTTGGATGGGGTATTTTTCATATTTTAGTTCCCAAGAGATGGAGAGTGAAAATCTTTCTCCTAGATTTCTTACGCCAAATTGAGATTTTTTTTTGGTAATGAATTTTCAGTAACAGTGAAATTAACGACCTAGAAATTGTTACGACCCGGAGACACATCCACTTTAGAGACAAGGGAGGGCAAATTACAAGATGATTTCAAAGAGGAAGGAGGAAGAAGAAGGACGAGAGAGAGAGAGAGAGGTAAAAAATTGTGCGTTCAAAAATCAGATTTTACAATTATATGTTCTCATTAAAGGCTTGTGTTATGAATGTTATCTATTAATAAATTTATAAATTTTCACTAAAAATATTGTAAAAATTTATTACATTAATATCAAATTGAGAATGAAGATTAAAATTAGAGATTGATAAAAATGTAAGAGTATGTGCTCGTGTGAGTAGGAAATGTAAAATCTCTATTTTATTTCTATTATCAACTATGAATTTAAATTTAACAGAAATTCTGGAAAATGTTTGCAGCCTTAATTTTGTTTTTTGTTTTTGTCTTTCTTAACCAATAAGAAAAAAGAATTGGTTAGAAGAAAATATAATCTAAGATTTTATAAATAATTTTCTTGTCTATGTGAAGATCAAATATTTTTTGAATTAATTTTTTTTAACGAAAGATGTTAATTATGAATGAATGAATGATTGATTGATTGATTTACTATAATCGTATAATAAATCTCAAATAAAACAATACATTTTTGTTATCACAAGATATATTTGTAGTTATAAATCATTTATTTAGAATGAAATTTGTAATCGGTATTTGATGATATGAATTATTTGATAATAAACACATAAGTCTTGACAATTATTTACATCAAACTTTTGATAGTGGTAATTTTTTTAAATCATTATCAATTTGTTTGAAGTGAAATCATACCACAAAATATAATAAAGAAAAACTAAATTCAGAAAATGAGAGTAGGGGAGAAGAGTGAGATACTTCTAATTGATTTTGGCATACTAATTCTTATGAAAAAATGAAAGTAAATTAAGTAATTCAGAAAACAAAAATGAGTTAAAATAAAAATGAGATAACTTAGAACATACATATAAAATGATCCCTAAAAAATCTTGTATTTTAAGATATGAAGAGGCCAAAG